AAAAAGGCGGGAAGCTGTTCGCTTCCACCCGGCGGCAGCCACCCGCAAGCGGGGTCCCTCACCCCGCCGGGTACCCGTGTGGCCCTTCTGCGGGGCAGCGGCGAAATTCCGGGCAGGGGAACGATGAGAAGCCTGAAGCTCAGGCGTCCTGTTCTGTCGCACGTGATGTGTGAGCTGAAAATCTGGAAAGGTTCGTGTTTCAAAAAACTGGCACAGAAACTGTGAAACCTCTAATACAAAAGCGATGGCGAAGTAATGAAATAACTTTCTTAAATGTTGTAGATGTCGTTTTAAGGCATCATCTCGCTGGTTTGTGTTTGCACACTGCCTCAATACAGTGCCCGGTGCTTGCCCCGTACTGCTCCAGGCTGCGGAGCGACACCTTTTTTTTTTTTTTTTTTTTTTTTTTGAGAGTTACCAGGTAAAGCAATAATAATAAATTTGATAGCTCTGTAGGCCTGTTTCAGAGCTTTTGGCTGTGTGTTGCCAGACCCACACAGCTAACTCGTAACTGGCCCAAACTATGTGGTCAGCTTCCGAAAGCTGCTGTAACACTTATCATTCATAGATTTTGTGCAATAATTTACTAGTCTTACAACACTTCAGTTCCTCATTCATGCAAGAACCTGGAATAGAAGTTATCTACAAATAAAAACATTGTCGTTGTTTCTGTTGTTGCACTTTTCCAGGAATAAAAGTAGCCTAACATTAGGCAAATAAGATTAATGCTTGAGAGGCAAGGTGACAAAGGTATATTCCTAATTTTAGGCCACACAGTAGCCTACTATGCCTATATCTTATCAGCCACCCTTGTACATGTTACAAGAGTAAGTAAAAAAACCCAGTAAAATAGAAAGAAATCTTTATAGAATACGGTCTGAAAAACGCTTGGCACTTAAAGGAAAGTTTGCACCATCAGGAAATACTTTGGGACTGCAGGCTCCACAGCCCCACAACCTCCCTAAGTGTGACCCAGAGGTACTATCTGTACGGGGGGAGCCTCACGCTACAAAGGTATTCATCATTAGAACATGCCTATTTCAAGAATCATAGGTGATATTTGAAATTATTCTTTACAAGACCGGGGATGTAATGTGTGTCTTCATTTCTGCCTCTTGGAACATTCCTTGTGTACCATCAAGCAATTTTTTGGCACAAGATCTGAGTTTAACATAAAATATATATTTGCAAACTTGTTTATTGATGGGTTTGTATATATCCAGCGTAAGTAGATACAATCTCTAAAGGCAGAATAAGCCATCCTACATAGGGACTTTCAGAAATTAAAAAGTGCAAAACTAGCTTAGTACCTGAGAATGGTGCAGAAATACTGACTAAAGAGATACTAGAATTAGAAATAATATGAAAATATTAATGAAAGCTCAATGGAAGATCTGTAAGGATGATGTACTAGCTTTCTCCACTGACTGTAATTTTTAAGATTAATAGCTATACTGGAATAACTCATTTATTATTATGCAGTAACAATATACTTCTCTCATAGTCACCCAGCACCCAGAATATAGTTGCAATAATCAAAAGATTTTGTGGTAACTAGAACAGTAGCTCCTTCTTCTGTAGCTGGTAATGGAAATGAAGTTTCATAGCCAGTCTGAGGTTTTACCAAGCCACAGTCATGGCAAGTGCATTCTTCCACTGAATACATTATTGTTTCACTTTGAAGTGAGTGTCCAGTTCCTTCTGTATTCACACTGCTTTCAGTATTAGCCTTGAGAATATAATTCAGCTCCATAGAAGAGTCTGTAAATACACAGCAGTCAATTTAGTACGTACCTCATGCTATACCAGACGTGCAGTTATTAAGGTCCAAATTTCATCATGTTCCAACTATGTTCCTTACCTTAGTGAAAGTTTTAAGATGTAGCTATATATGATAATCTTTTATTTTATGACAATATACCTCCTATACTTCAGGATAAGCATTTAAGTATCTAACGTGTATTTTCTAATCGGTTATTATTTATTGGCTGAACACTCCACAAATATTAGTAAATGTAAAAATGTAAAATAACTTAATTTCTTTCACCTTCCCATAATATACCACATATGCTTCTCACAGGCTAGAATATTAAATAAAATTATTTAATGTCTTGTAAGATGGAAAGCTAATATTGATTGTGTATCTTCTACCTGGGTAGAATTCCTTTTGCATTCAGTGAGAAGAGTATGAAGCCTTCGTAAAGATCTTTTGCTATTGCAAGTTCATAAATGATTTCTCAAACACCAGCAAGTAAACAATCCTGATGTGATCCAGAACCACCAAAGAGAGATTGCTGCTTTTACAGGCTCTCATCTGGATATTTTATTCCCTAATCCCTTTAGTAACATCATTGAGACTATTTGAAGAATACAAAACAATTCAACAGTTATCAGAATCTGGGATATAAATTATATGCAAAAAACTATACATGGAAAGAGTAGCTAAAATGTACAATGATCTAAAATTATTTCATAGTCTTATTTATTCACCTGTGTTTTTCAGTTTTTCTTTCAGTTGCTTTAGGTGCTTCCATCTAAACAAGACCATTAAGGTGAACAGAGTGAGCATTAAAATCACTCCTAAACCCAAACAAATCCAAAGAACTCCATTTGAATCAGTACCTGATGAAATAGAAGAGATGCATTGAATTTATTGTAAACAACCACCAATGAACAGTAAACATGTCCAACACATAAAACTTCGTCTACATCAAAGGAGCAATTTCTGTTTCTGTTGAGTGACAGTTCAAGTAAAGCTTGTGAGCTTTAAAAATCTACTCTTCTTAACACACATACAGGACACACTGCATATGTCTTTAGTATTTTTGAGCCCATATATTATTCTGATAAATTCTCTCCAGGTTTTAGATTTCTTCTAAGTTTCTGTGTTTACAATTCTGTGTAAAATACAACACGAAAATTCCCAGCATAGCCACAAAGTCTTGCAGAAACATTACTTACTCGTATCACAGTAGCTTTCACATGAAGGCGGCGGTGCGCTAGAACATCGAAGATGACACGGCTTACAAGAGAGTAGCAAATTATCAAAGTATTCATTTTTGGGGCAGCGTGCCATCAGCGTCAGTAATTATGGAACTGGAAAGCCACAGAAATTGTAAAAGAGTGAGGATCATCTACAAAGGGCTTTTCAGTTCTCGGTTTTATCAAATCTAAGGACAGCTAGCAGTAGGACTTTGATCACAGCTCCACTACATAGTATCATGTTAAGTAAAAAGGATTTAACTCTAAGGCCCCCAAGGAATTACTGTTCCTTTTTTGGCAATTCACAATTGTAGAAAAACTGAACAGCTGCACCAAGATAATTTTCAATGTAAATTTTGTCTGAAACAGAAAACGGTTATTTATAGAAGACATTTCTTGAACAGGTGCTAAACATTACAAACTAGAAAAGCAAGAAGATCTCCAAATAGGAGTTCATAATAATTGTTCTTGTCTTTAGAATTTTGTGGGGTTTTTCGTGGTGGTGAGCCGCAGCAATTATGTTTTCCTGTAGTATGAAAACTATGTAATGCTTACTTTTTGTTCTTTTTGTCCCAGTCCAAGAAGCATAAGATGAAAAAAATAGAGGCAAGAGGCACAGCAGTAAGAAGATACAACCAATTCAGTTTTTAGGTTTGCCATTGACTCATTCTGCAATTTCAGACAACTTTCTTCGTACCTGTTTCCCTGGACGGACAATAATATTTAGAACACAGAGATGATGAAAGAATTACTTCTTCTAAATGAATGGATCTCTGTTTGTAAATGAGATACTGTTAAAGTACAAGTTCAACAATTACTTTGTAATTGTGTTGTACAAAATACATCTAAGACCTTCAGTTATAAGAGAAAGATGAAATCTAGACAGTCACTGTGATATTGCTCCTCAATTTCAAATTAGCCTCCTTTATCTGGTCTATTAGGTTTTGGTCGGCTTTTTTGCTAGTTCATTTTGGGGGTTTTAGCTGGTTTTTTGCTTATAATCATAGTTATATGAGAAATTTAGTAAGATTACATTCTAATTGTGAAAGAAAAGCTATATGAATATTTTACAATTTTCACTTATAACATTATCTGCAATTTTTCCCTTATTTTTCTGTAATGCAGAACTGTCACTGTACTAAAACTGCAGTACTCAGCATGGAAAAATAGGTGGGCCATAGGTTTCATTCTTGTGGTAGAGTGTATATGACATCCCCTTCCCAGGCAGGTGGTGGGGCACGCTGAGCACACAGGGGTTTGCCTGCGTGTATGCAGCGAGTGTTACATTTCTGAAAATGCATTTTAGTCTTCTTCCAGGAAAAAAAAAGCTTCAGTAACAGACTGCCACAGTGAAATGAATTTACACAGCTTACTTGCATCTTGACTTTTTAATTTAATAAAATGTATTTTAAATATGAAGTTAACCAGTAGTATCTAGCAAGTTGCAATAACTGCCTCTATCCAGTATCACTGCCACAGGCAGATTAGAATTACAGGCTTATTTATAGTTCAGTTTCTCCTTCACACAGTTAATCGCCTTTTTGACCACAGAAAGAGAAAAGAAAAATACCGTAGAAGGAATTGTAATTTCATACCACATTACTATGTATGAGACTTATTTTCCCACTAAACGCACCATGTGGGAATACACAAACTGTTTCTAGTGGAACGGTCTAACGAAGCAATCTGTGTTCTAGTCTCTAGCAGATGGAACTGCTTATTGTGCCTTCTGCACTGGTTTCTGTAGGCCAGGTGCACAGCTGTAGGCTCTCTATTACAGGCTTTTCTCCCTATTCAAGATTACTGGATAAACAGGAATCGACAAAATCTGATTTAGGCGTGACAAAAGAAAATATGAATACAGACTGTGGGCAATGCTACAAATTTCACCAGGAGGTCAGTGCTGGTGCTGACCTCATAAAACTGGTTCTGGCTTGCTTCATACATTCACACTCTAGGTGATGACACCTAAGTTATTGCTAGAATATCATTCCTATTACTGAAGAAGTACCATTTGGTAGCTTATGCATAAAGTGATTTGACTTTTTGGTTTTAAGATGCTGTTTAACCTTTTCAATCATGGAGAGGACAATCCCATTCTCTGCTGCGATCTCAAGAAGGCAGATATTCATGAAAGTATCTTCATGGTATCCACAGGTACAATAAGTGAATTTCAGGACAGAGAAGTTGGGTCCAATGCTTTAATCTGTTATTAATATAATTCCATTGACTTCAGTGAAATGCTCTCTAGCTTTACTTAAATAGAATATTTTCCCGTGTTACAACTCCCCATTGTTCTTGCATTTTTATATTCATATCTATAACTTGTATTAAGACCCCTTATTATTTTAGAAAGGAACCAGCTGAGTAGTTCCACAATTGTTTTCTGCCATTGGTTCCAACACCACACATCTGCAGAATAGGGAGAGTCTTTCCTGTAGTAACATTCCTTATGAAATTGACAGCTTTCAAATTCCACAACTTTCAAACTATATCACAGCTGCTGAATGCTTCTGACATTATTTTAGTAGTCTAGGGAGATCACGTGTGCACTATAACAGATGAATGAACCAGTTCCTTAATTGGTTTCACTTTTTTTCCAGTTGTACTAGGAGTGTGGGGGAGGACTGTCTTTGTTTCAGCTGCTTTTATTACAGTTTTCTTGCCTCATTTTTTTAGTGTACTGGGGTTTTTTATGATTTAACTTTTGACTGAATTGTGTAGGTATATTTATTCTGAACACTAACTTTTTTTCAATAAAGTAGTTTTGCTAAATAGGTAGGTTTATAGCATTTTGATATTAATTCACAGCTTCACAAAGAAGAGAAAGAAGGTCAGATTGACAATGGTGAGTATTTTTGCTGGGAAATAGCAAAACGCTGTTGTTAAATAGCATGTAGAAATCCCAAGTAGGCAACACAGATAGTACTAAGCTTGAACAATAATAATTGATAAACTCCTTGAAATTCAGTGTTGTTACCATGAAGAAAGAAACCTTGAAATGCTTGCTAAGGATAAGTTCTGCTAAACAGAACAACTTTATGTGCCACTTCAGGTCTTCAGATTTATTTTTTTTTAATGGAAGAGGGATTCTATAGAGATGTGTCTGTGACTTCTCCCATATGCACCCACATTCCATATCACTGACCAAAAAGTAAAAGCACTCCAGTAGAAAAGGCATGTAGTTCCTTTACTGTTTTTAAAAAAACAGGCCTAAAACAAAAATGCATACAGATACTTACAAGGTATCTTCAAAAGGTGTTGGCTGAAGGAGGTAGCTTGCTTTGGAAAATGTTAGTCTAATTTTCCTCCATACCTGCATGGGTAATATTTATCTACTTCACAGGAACAGTACAAAGTAATTTTATTAAAATTTGCTAAGTGCTTTCAATGAAAATTATTAAACCCATGCAAAGCGTGAGTTCATAGAATCATAGAATACCAGGTTGGAAGGGACCTCAAGGATCATCTGGTCCAACCTTTCTTGGCAAAGGCAAGGTCTGGACAAGATGGCCCAGCACCCTGTCCAGCCAGATCTTAAAAGTGTCCAATGTTGGGGAATCCACTGCTTCCCTGGGGACAGTATCCCAATGGCTGATGGTTCTCATTGTGAAAAATTTTCCTCTTGTGTCCAATCAGAATCTCCCCAGCAGTAACTTGCACCCATTACCCCTTGTCTTTTCCATGTGACTCCTTGTAAAAATTGAGTCTCCATCTTCTTCGTAGATGAAGACTGGTCATAAGGTCTCCCCTGAGCCTCCTTTTCTCAAGGCTGAACAAACCCAGTTCTCTCAGCCTTTCCTCACTCAGCAGGCTTCCCTTTGACCATCTTTGTGGCCCTTCTCTGGACCCTCTCCAACCTGTCCACATCTTCTTTTGCACAGTGGGTACCAAAGCTGAACACAGTGTTCCAGGTGTGGCCTGACAAGCGCTGAGTAGAGTGGGACAATGACTTCTTTGTCTCTGCTGGTGATGCCCTTGTGGATGCAACCCAGCATCCTGTTAGCTTTCTTTGCCACTGCAGCACGCTGCTCACTCATACTGAGCTGCTTGTCCACCAGGACCCCCAGGTCCCTTCCCACAGAGCTGCTCCCCAGCCATGTAGATCCCAGCCTGTGCTGCACTCCCAGACTATGTTTTCCCAGGTGCAAGGCCTTGCACTTGTCCTTGTGGAACTTTGTTATGTACTCCTACTCTACTTATTATGGTAACGTATTCTACAACTGATTTGTATTTGATATAGTATGGTACTATTAATAAAAACTGTAAAAAATGGACTTAAAGAGAGAAATATTGATCTACAAGCAACAAATGAAATAATAAGATGTGTCTATCATGGGTATATACACTGCTATAACATTGCATCTCTATGCCCACCACTGCTATACCCAAATATGATTTCTAAATTCCAGGGAAAATATTCTGAAGTCATCAACACAACAACCATTTAAATTAACGCTCAACAGTAAGACTACTTTCTCTGGTGCAGTTGATGCAGACATGATTTCATCCCCGAAACTTACAAATTTCACTTCTGAAATGTAAAGTGACACCCTTAAAGGACCTTCTGGAAAGATGACCAGTTTTATATCTCAGATTCTTCTGAGGTTCAAAAGGAAGTCTGAAATCAAACTTCAGGCTTCTGTGCTCTACTGAAGCAAAGACAAATACATCATTGATAATTTTCAGGTAAGATACATTCCAAAAGATACCATTATGCAACAGATGTGATGAATCTTTTCTAGAAAACCAGGTGGCTCTCAAAACACGGCTCAAGAATTTTTCAAACAACTGTCTTAAATAACTCACATAAATCTAAGGTAGCCTAGAGTGGTCTGAATCTGTTTAGGATGGGCTGATGAAACAAAGAGTTATAAGTTCATGATGTGGACCTATGTTTTCCTTTCCAGATCATAGGATCTTTCTGGATAATCTGGGAAGAAAAAAAATACCATATCAGTGAGGGATGAAACACACATTCTCTTTCTAAGTTTGAAACTCAGGTGATTAAATCAACATTGCTTTTCTCAAGCAGATTAAGAAGCTAACATTTGTGGAAAAATAACTGAAGTCTTGATGTGTTCAGTAAAAGGA